CGCGACGGGGTCTCACCTGCTGGGAGCAAACTGGTGCCGGGTGGTCCAAGAGCCGCGGGGAAGCGCGACACGGAGCCAGTCGGTACAGGAGCAGTAGCAGCAGCCCCAGCCCCAGAGGGGGCTCCAGAAGGACAAGAGGTCGGCGGCACAGAGCACCCATAGCCCCCAGCACTGTAGTGGAGCGCGCGGTCCAGAGTTGGGGGCGCAGGGAATGAACGCCCGGGTCTTCCCCAAGTCCCAGTTGGCCGACTTCGCTCGCTTCCGGCCTCCAACACAGACAAAGGGCGGGCCGCTCCGAGGGGAGGGCTTCCGGCTGGGTGAGTCCCTAGGCTAGTCCCTCCCCAGCCCGCTCGGGAGAGGTGCGCGCTCCCCCTCTTCCGGCACCTTCCCAGCGCGCCCGAACACCGGACTCCCTGTCCCCAACCGGCCGGCTCCCCACAGCAGACCCCGCCCGTGGGCGGGCCATCAGCTCACCTTCTACCCTCGGGCTGCTCCACATTTCATTCCGCGCTTATCGTCACGCTAGATTTAAGTTCGGTTTCCATCCTTTACCTCTTTGGTGTAGCCCCTAATCAGACTTCTCTTTTTTTCTTGGCCCTTCGACGCCAGGCCCTTCCCTACTCGAAACTCAAAGGAAGGCTTTCTTTTTACCGTATTTGCCGGAGTATAAGACGATTTTTTGGCCCTGAAAAATATGCCTCCAAGTGGGGGGTCGTCTTATACGCCGGGTACACTTCAGATAGACTGCCCATAGTGCTTGCCCCGTGCCATAGTGGCCTCCCGATGCCCGCCCGCTTCATTCCACATACCGTTCAGGCATCAGCAGCGCTGCTGGGTGTATGCTCGGCTGTTATGCGATTTTGCTGTTATGCGATTTTACCACACTCGCAAAATCGCACACAGCCGACCATACACCCAGTATGATAGCGCAAAATTGCGAATCGCGATACCATACTGGATGTATGGTTGGCTGTGTGCGATTTTGCGAGTGTGGTAAATTCGGGTTACCGTATATTTCTTTACATATGCATTGAAGATTCGCGATTTTGCGCTATCATGGTGCCTGTTAGAATGTTGAAGAGCTCGCACTTGCACACTAGTGAGGGTCCCAGGGAGATGCTGATGCAAGGGTTTGCTAGGGACTTGCCCGGCACTTGCTCTCTACCTCTATTTGTTATCTTACTTCTATCATTGACAGTCCCTCTAGGTTGTGGGCTGCTTGCCTGTGTTCCTGAGAAGCATCTACGGTACCAGTCTATAGAGTGTGTTTTCTTTAGTGAATTACCGGTATGTTTACCAGTAATAAACTTGCACTGTTTTATGTATATGTTTGATTACATACAGCCTTGTGACAGTTTTCCTGCATGTCATAAGCATTTGAATATAAATTAAAATGTTAAAATCAAATCTGATATTGTTTTACCTTTTATTTGGTGTGTGGAAGGTGTGCGGAAGAGGGGGTAGTCTTATACGGCGAGTATATAACAAACTCTGTATTTTGAGTGGAAATGTTAGGGGGTCGTCTTATACGCCCAGTCGTCTTATACGCCGGCAAATACGGTAGTCCTGGTCCCTCTTCACGCCCAGCCTCCTTCCTTCCCCCTCTCCCTCCTCGCTCCCTTCCTCCTCCTATTCTCTGGCTTTCCTTTTTTTCTCTCTAGGAGGCAGGGATCTCTTGGGCTCCAGCGCATTCCTGTTCCGCTCGAGAGGAAGTCGGAGCATTGATTTCCCTCAAGTGTGACGGGAACTTGGGGAGATGAGATCCCTGGCCTCGTACTCTTAGTTCCCAACAGCGCCCAGAGTGCCATGTTTCCCAAGAGACTTACTCCTGGTCTGCTGAAGGACTATCTTTGGCCCTTTCCTTCTATTAGTCTCCTGTCGAACATGTGCCAACTGCATCCTCTCCTCTCCATCTGCAATTGGGTGCGATCCCCTGTCCTGGGTTCCCGCCATCCCTCCTGCCGGATCCTGGCTTCCAGCCTTGCCTTCTCTTTTCATCCTACACACTCCAGACACATTTGCGTTTCGAAAACTGCATTTTTATCCCCTTTCTCCCTCCATTCTAAACCCACAACCAGCCGCATTTCCTTGCCTTTGATGCCCATGGAATCTAGACGCACTTTGCATCTTCCTGTACTTTCCACCCACCTGAATTGGAGCTCCCAGAAATGGGCGGTGGATTTTCTCACTGTCCAAAACATACACTGCCGTTTCCGCTGCTGGCAGACTCCTGGTAACCATCTCTGTGGGTCCCGGATGTCCCCCAGCCCCCCAACCTCGCACACCATCCCACCCACTCCCGCCCAAAAGGACCCAGCTGCATTAGGCCTGAAGCTCTGAGGTCTTCAAACATCTTTACTTGTTTATTCTAAAATAATTTTGGAAAACATTGCATCCACTCATACATCTTTAAAATGACATCAAAAATTTTCACCCTAAGTTTAAATAGATGTTAATTGTTATTAAAATTTGACATTTGTAGTGGGCAATTTCTAAAATGGCTCTCCATGGTCTCACCTCCTGATAGCCACATCCTTTTGTGTCTCCCCTTGAGTGTGGGCTGGGACTAATGACTTGTTTGCAACATTAGAATATGAATAGAATAAGACAAAAACAATGGATTGAAACCAGATAACCAATGGGTCATGGCTGCTTGTCACCACATGAGCCAATTAAGCAGAGACAGGTTTGAATCATATATGAACATTTATTCCAATAATGCCAGCAGTATGGGAAAGAGCAAAAAATCTGCTCTGCACCCTACCATAAGCCAGGTGCTTATATTGGGTAAAAGGACAAAGATTATATAGGAAAATAGGAATTACAGACATGGGAAGTAGGCAAGGTAAAATGGTTACAGGACAGGCAATGTAGGCTGAGGGGTAGCAAAGGGTAGGCACCTCCTGGACCAGATTGTTTTGGCAACAAGATTGTTAATCTTTCCATGATGATAGGAAGTTCTTGGAAAGGAGAATGAAGTGTATTCTAAGGCTAACTAACATGTCCTGGGGCATACAACTCTCAGATCGAATGTGCTTTCTTTAATCAGAACAGAGCAATCACAGTTAACAGAACATGATTAATATTTCTTATAACTGTACCTAGTCCCTATTATTCTCTTTCTGTCCCTAACAGGCTGCCACTTACAAGATTAGGCTACAAAATGGTCCTGGCTTCTGGTAGCTCAGCCATATATCTGACTGTTAGGTTAGGTGGCTCAGGAGGCGGCGCAAGAAATAGAGACTCCAGTGAATCAGAAAAGAAAGGAAAGGAAAAGGTTTATTCTGCGTCCCCGGGAGACCCACGTACCCCAAGGAGAGGGCACGTGGATTCACACCAACAGGGAGGGGGGCGCTTTTTTTTATACTGCAGTTGGGTGAGGGGCGGGGACATGAGCTGAGGAATTCTCTGCTGCAGGGGATGGGCGGGGGGATGTGGATTAAGGG